TTGTTCGATAAGAGATACTTGCCATTTGGTCCCATATATCAATTTAATTTAGTTTTTCTACTTTTTAGTGTATTTTTAGTCGTATCTTTTTCCTTTATGCTATCTAGAGTAGCACAAGATATTTTGCAGTATTTACGCTAGCTAGTACCCCTAAGTGTAACGCGGTTGATTACAAGAACTAGCAAAATAGAATGATTGATGGGCCGTACGTGAACTGTAACGCGGCTGTCGCAGTGATGAGTAATTCGAACAAACATCCTCTGTCGTAGCGGGAAAGGCAGCCACAATGTTTTATAATTGGTTATGCGTGCGATTTTCAACAGTGGCCCGCGCCTTCCGTTACGGCAGGGGGCAGCCAACAAAGGGCGGGTGGTGACTGGTGCACCTGCTCTAACTGGTTTCGCATGGCGGTCATGCGAAACCGAATCTAGATTTCTATCAAGTATACATAAATGTACATTCATTATCTGGACTTATTTTCTGTACAGTACTAGCAAAGGCCCATTGGGATAATACTTTAGAGCTTTGGCAAGCAATACTTACACAAAATAATCATAATGCGTTTATGTGTTGTAGACTGTGATAGTGATCATAAGTATGCTAATTCGATACAAGCTCTCAGTATATTTTTTAATTATACAAATGCTAATAACATCAATTTTATATTACTACTGCACTTCGATATTACAAAATTATTTCAATCGTTCCGTCAGCAAAGTTTATTGGGTTTTAACTTTTATTTACGACTGTCAATTAATTGACTGGAGTAATTCAATATAGAGTCTCCTTTGCATGCTCCAGTAGAAAATTCATAACTGCCGATGGTGTAACCAGAGAAGTGACTGCGTGCAATCGTTGAAAAGTAAGTGTTATTCAAGCGATAAACGTAAGTGGCAGCGTTACTAATGAGCGGTTAATAAACATAGCTATGCACTAGGACTAGGATTGCATCTTTCTATGGCAATTTGAATATGCATGAGGACCTGTTGACTGTTGGCCCAGTTTTTGTGACATGCTAAGTCGCAAGGCAACAGTGCGGAGCCAATGCATCGGTTAGCAGACGACTGTGCAATTTCTAGGGTACATAGTGAAAAGGGCACGCGCACCGTTAACGTTCAACTGGCAAGGGAAACAAGTAGACCAACGCCTTTCAATCAACAAAGTAGGTTTATGGTTCTCGGCCTTTCGTTACTATGTTGCATACTTTTTTTATTTCTCGAAATAAATTCGAGATTGCCAGTGATATGGCTATTCTTTTCACTGCAACCTTCGTTACCTTTGCCTAATAAAATCTATGGAGGAGTGATTTCTGGTTTGGATCATCGACACACTATCTTGGTCTCGAACCAATTGAGCCCACGCGCCACTTCGCCTCAAACACCGAATCGTCAACCGTTTAATACTTCCGAGTATCCGACGAATAGTATATTCGAAATAAGCGTAGGATCCCGGGAGATTTGTGATTTCATAATTCAGATCTGAAGACATTTATGTATGAACGTCATCAAAATATAAAAGGTATTGAGGGCAAACCGTTAAACTCTAATAGCGGAAATAATAATTTAGAAATAAAGAACTATTAGGCACTCGAGTGACGAACGTTAGCCCCCGGAGCTTTGACCGGTCGCGTGCGTCAGCGCTTTTTACTTTGCACGGAAATAGCATTTCAGATCTATGAAACTTTGGCATCGGGCACCGCTGCAGGAGACCCACTCCTAAATCCGAAACTCATTGTACTCGTATCTGGGTGAGAATCTAGTATAACCTCAGTCCAGAATCGATTTATTCGAATTGAGTGATGAGTCCAATCAAACCAACGGGACTTTAAGATTTGCGACTGCAATCGCAGCACCACGATCGTTTCTGATGATCGGTTCTACAACACAATGTCGCAATATAAATCGTGTGTGCTGTCATGAACTCGTATCTAGAAATCGATTTTTGCTTAGATGTTATAAAATTGATTGAACACAATTTCGTTTTATTCAGCTGTTTTTATTAAGTGTAGATATTAATGTCGGCTTGGCAATAGTCTTGTAAAAAATATTTTTAATGTTCGTACACTTCAATGAGTGACGAACGAACGAGTAATAGAGACATTGAACGTGGTAATAAATAAAACACTTGTGGTCTTTGATCCTCCAACTACAATGTCATTGCACTTATCACTTAATCCAGGTATTGTGAATCAGACTCCGGTTTGAGCTTCTTATTTACTCGATCGAATCAAGGTTCAATTTATTTTCATGATGACAATGACAATTTATGAAGTCTATAATTATATTATCAGTGATATTATCGTGTAAATAAACAAAAAGATATTTAAAGTATTAAATGTTATCCTTTTGGGCATGACTCTACTACACGATATCTACGAGTATTAATATTGTTTATTACAGCCGCGGTCAGCCGCCTATAATATTTTTTTTTTTTATCCACAACGAGGAAGCTCTTGGCCTGTATCTCACCTGATGGTAAGTGACGATCAGGCCGAAGGTGGAAGCGAGCTTCACCCGGAATCCTCAACTACGGAGGAACTGGCTATCTTACCTCTAACTGCCGGAACACAATAATGCTGTTAACATTGTTGTTATGGCGACAGACTTAGGTAAGATGGTGGTAGCTAGCCAGGCGGACTTAGTATAAGCCCTACCACCAACCAAACCGAACAGAAAAATCTGCCCCCACTGGGAATCGAACCCGGGACCTCTGCGTCTGAAGCAGGTGGTCTTACCACTAGACCACAGAGGCGGATAATTATGTGTGTTAGTTTTATTATGTGTATTATAGTATTTTGCTATTAGTTTCTGTTGAGTATCAAGAGAGACCGAAAGGTGCATAAAATTCCTGGAACTATTCGCATCCCGTCCTCTTAATGACATGGGATTTGGACACTGGGTTCGTTAAGTAACACTTCTAATTTTGCCAAAACAAAAAACTATTCGGACACGCAAGAACCCAAAATGAGGAACTGCACATTTCCTGTTCCTTGGGGATTGTTAGATCATCAATAATTTCAAAAATGAGCCATTTCAAATGTTAATTCTTACCTTGGAGCGATATAGGCCTTTCCATAAATCGGATCGGCCGGTGAACTTGGAATTTGCGGGGCACCGATAGAAAACGCACGCAGTCTTCCACTGAGTAATTACGGGCGGAGCAAATTAACATCGGACGGCACACACGCAACAGTCAAGGCAGGGTTGAGTACCTGACCCCGGTGTCAGTGCCGTCTTCTAAGGGCCGCGTACGAAAAACAAAAAAGGGCAAATCTCAACCTGCCCCCGCACCTACCCGTCCAGAGCCACGTCCTTTTCCCCCAGCCCCCCAGTCTATGGATGCTGGGTGGACTGAGGTTGTAAAGCGTGGCAAGAGTAAGAAGAAGGGGAGTCAAGCCCCGTCAAACAGCGTTAAACCAGCTAGCCAACAAAAGGCTGGGCCAGGTAGAGAAAAGGGCAAAGCCCGTAGGGTTCGTGTTCCAAGAACGGCTGCAATTTCAGTAGTATTTACGCCGGAGGCCGCTCGCCAGGATCCACCTTGTGATTTTCAATGGTTTATGCACATTGCAAAACAACAGGTGGATCTCGCCCAACTGGGCATAACAGAAGGACTTCGTTTTAAGCCAGGTCAGACGGCAGCAAAGCTCCTCGTCCTTTCCGGTCCAGAAGCGGAGGAGAAAGCAGATAGGCTGGCCGCTGCCCTTCGTGCTGTCCCTGCTTTTCCAGCGGAAGTGGTTGCAATAAGGCGACCAATTAAAAGTGAAGACATCCGACTGTCCGGTTTGGATGAATCCATCGAACAGTTGGACATTACGACGGCAATCTCCACCAAAACCGGGTGCCCACCAGAGCAAATAAAAGTGGGCAAAATAAGCAGAACCCGGGATACCCGCAGTGTCATCGCGCGGGTACCGTCAAAAACGGCGAAACAGCTGGCAGGTCTCCGCCGGCTTCTTGTTGGATGGGCCTCGGTACAAATTACACTGCTTAAACCGAGGCCTTTGAGGTGTGTGTCATGTTGGGGCGACGGACATGTCGCCCACAAATGTGCTGCCGACGTCAGCGACCGCAGCGAACTCTGCTTCCGATGCGGTCAGTCTGGGCACCAGAGGAAGGAGTGTCCCGCCAAAGAACCCCACTGCCTACTTTGTGCAGCGGTAGGAAAGGCAGCGGACCACATGCTGGGGACGAAAGATTGCCCTCAGCCACTGCAGATGCCTAAGCCGGCGCTATCCAGGCCCGGCCGAACGGCTAGCCTCATGGAGGTGGACGCGGGGGCGTCCGCTTCCTAACACTGAGGCCCGAAGTGCGCGCGGAGTCCCCGCGCGCTTTGGAGAGAGAACCCCACTGAAGGGGTTTATATAGCGAGGCTGCGGCTGTTGCGTGGGGGCACGCATGCGAACGATTCTTCGACTCGTATACTGCCCCACTAAGCGCGACCAGAGGGACCCGACTGGTTTTTAGTGGGTAGGCCTTGCCCTTCAGGTGAGGAGAGCCCCACATAACTCATTGGCTCCCCCGGGCTGGTGAGTATGCAGTTTCATGCATTTTCCAGTCGAAAAAAAAAAAAAAAAAAATAAAAGCTTGTAATAAAGTCGGGTTTGTTCAAATTTCGAGAACGACTGAACCGACAAAAGCATTAGAACATGTACGAAAAATAAAATAAAATTTTATCCCGTACAAAAGTGTTCATGGCTTTTGTTATTTTTATTAAATACCTTTACGCCTGAGTTAATTGACACCGACATCAAGGTTCATCAATTTAAGTTTAAAATAATAGGCAGTAATGTATGAAGAAAGAGCTTCTATTCTGTATCTACCTATGCCCGTGTATTTTTGATCGGTGTCAAATCGGAGTTTTTGGTGCGGGGTACGCGGGTGTTGCTCGCGGCGTGAAGGTCAAACGCCCAAGGTCATTGAGGACTCTAATCGCCTTAAATACTTTTAATACATCCGGGCGAAACGCCTAGCTACTAAAAAAAAATTATTCAGATACTCATAGACAGGATCGATCGATGTGCATGTAAGTGTATCTAATGGAGGTGGAGGCTTGTTGCCACGCATGGCATCAAGCAACCGTCCAGAATTTAATGCGGATATTTCAGCAAATATCGCTAATGACGTACAAATATTATTTCTCTCGTACTCTAAGTCTACTTACTAATTTAGTACTGCAATTACAGTAGCCAATATTACAGTAGTCAGTTTCTTTATACTAACTATGAAAAGCTAAATGATTTTTATTTATAGGTAGGTATATCTTAACCATATTAATCATTACTAATTTTATGCTTGAGTGAACGTGTTTGTGTACTTATTTTTTGCTTCATAATATTCACTAAGTTATTTCTTTTTTAGCTTCATCGACTTAATTATTAATTCCATCAACTTAAGTATTATACTTTACAAAGCTTACAAGACTGACAACCCTTTAAATTGTTAAACTACTTACTCGTATTTAAGTCCCTGTCTTTAAAAGTTTCAATTTAAATATCAATAACAAAAGAGATACCAGTCGGCAACTGCGTGGGATGAAAAGATGCGTAGTTACCCCAGACATTCGAGACCAAGAGCACCTCACAAGGGCAGCCAAAGTTACCTCCACAATAAGGCAGACAGTTATAGTCTAGGATCCCACATGATTAATTTACGCCAATCTGAACTACCAAATATTTTTTTTTTATCATTTAAAAACTGCGATAGTTTCCACGTTTTCAAATTAATTATCTGTGCTGAGAATGGGCCCGCATAGTAAAATTGTATCATGACAAAATATCGCTCTAGAAGACAAGTTCTTCAATACAAAAACGACTCTACCTTCTACAAAAGCTCGCAGAAATTATCAAATCAAATTATGAAAGATAGGATGTATGGCGTGCCTGGAAATATCTAGGTATGGAAATTAATTTGTATGTTTAATCTTTAGTCACATAATTATAACCTCTGTGCCTATTACACATCAATAAGTACTTATACCTAAATAAAATCGGCGTTAGTTTTCTAGTTATACACGTTTTCGTCATTCTTTGATTTCTAAACACGGAACTATAAATGGCAATTCTATGCTGCCTAAGTCTGTCCTTGAGAGAAGTGAAGCTATCCTTGGACCGGGATGAAATTAATAAGAAGAACTTTAGCCCTCAGAGTAGTGAACAAATCAAATATCTCCCATTCCCCCCCGGCGCCCCTGGCGTACGCACGTGCCCTAGGTATATTTTCAAAAAACTGCGAGCTCGATCTGTATTCAAAGTGAGTATTCCTTGCTTTATTTATTTTGTCAGTTTAGACATAGACTGAAATAGACTTTATTGAACACGTTAAGCACAAATTATAAACAATAACAACACAAATCGAATATAGAAAATATTGGGCCACTGTGTCTATAGGGGCTCAGCATTTATCCTGACATGCTCGTAAGGGCATGTCAAGAAACTGGTCTTCATTGCTACAATTTGCACGAGTTTTAAAGTAATTAGGTGGTCGCATATTAAAATAGTAAATTCTCTTTTTTAATTTAGGGCCAGGTGATCGCAAAGCTGTCAATTTTTCTTATTTATTGTTTACTTACTTATTTCAATCACTTTTTTAACATTTGTCAAGTCGAAAAATGTTCCTATTAGTTTATGATATTTCTATTATCTCTATAATAAGTATTAAACTATAGTAACGATAAAATAGATAGTTTTGGTTGTCAACTGCTGATGATGCCAGTTTTTTGGTAGTCTCGAAATGTATTGTAATGTAACCGGTTACTGATCTAAATGATAATAAGTTAAACGTTCGTGTTGATACATACTTGTTGATACATTATATGCGACCTCTGTTTTGTAGGTCAGTGGGTAGGGTTGCTGACGTATGTACAGTGAGTTGCGTATCAAACTTTTTGTGATACTTTTCCCCGTATATTTGTTATATTTCATCGACAAAATACACAAACAGAAAAGTATCGAGAATCCGATCCGAAACACATTTTATAATTTATTTCTGGAATTTATCTACCACTAATCTCTTAAATCTATGTATGTGGTCGCATATTATGAACGGTTTACGAACTTTACCGGAAAACCGACAATCTTAATGTAAATAAAATGGCCTGTTATTACATCTCTAGTAAAATAAGTGTTTGTTAATACAATCACCTGTACCTCTAGCATGAACAATTACTTTAGTCTTCGAATCGTTTGCGTATTCGACAATATTCGATACTCAACCTTCGAATTAAATGATTATTTGACAATTTTGATTCTCAAAATAAGTTTCGTGCAACATTTCTCATACTAAGACACTTCACTTTACGACACGTTTACAAGGGCGCTGTTATAGTTTTCGTACTAAATCTTTTGATGGCGATTCGAATAGGCAAACGATTCGAATTCGAAAGTTTTTCGTGCTAGCCGTATTGTCAAGTAGGTTACTAAAATTCGCTGACATGTTTTAGGATTTCATATTTCTAAGGGCTTGTTCCCAGTTGAGCCCAGTTCCCACGGAGACTTCCCATTTTTTGTAGGAACTGTTTTTTGCACCATCCCGTTCAGTAGTTACGTGTTTTAATATGGAAGTTCATAAAATGAACATCCTGTTTGCAGTGTCTTTGAATTTGTGATTCGAATTTCAAACACACATTAATATGACTGTGTTTTCACACGATAGTCCAGTTTTACGGAATCCTGCATTACTGGATAGCTATGGGAACGAGATCTAACACTAACATTGTGATTTTTTACGGCCAGTTGGTCGAAAAACTCACTGCCTGAGTAAAATTTTCTATGGTCTTTCTTATTATTTTTGTTGAAGTTTCTGAATGGTGTGATTTTTTCGCTACATTTGCTATGCCGCCAAATACTTATTTCTGTTAGTTTGCGACCACCAAACTCTTCTTTTAAACCCGTGTTTGTGGACGGCCAGTATGTAGGTACATAAACAAGTAAATTTTTTAAATGTGCAACGATAGACAAAAAACTTAATGAACTAAATTATTACAGATGCCCAACAAACCAAAACAGAAGAAAACCGTGAATTACCCTCCAGAATCTTTAGTAGCAGCTTTAAAAGATATAAGAGAGGACGGACAAGGTATAAGAGAAACGTGCCGAAAATATGGGATTCCTAGAACGACTATACAAGACAGAATAAGTGGTAGAAGAACTGATAAAATAAGAAACAGAGGCCCAGCACCAATATTGGGGAATACTGGGGAACAACAAGTTGTTGAATGGTTAAATAATATTGCCAAGTGTAATTTTCCAGTGAAGAAGCAGGAAATATTAGACACGGTCCAGAAAATTCTTCAAGATCTCAAACAACCTAACCCGTTTAAAGGTGGTCGCCCCGGTCAGACGTGGCATTTAGGTTTCCTTAAAAGAAACCCTGAAATTTCACGTCGATCTGCCGAAGGCAAAAACAAAGCTCGTGAACGTGCGACTGAAAAGTCAATACGGCAATGGTTTCAAGAGCTTGAAACTTTTTTATCCGAATCAAGACAATCCGAGATTCTACAGGAGCCAGAAAGAATATTCAACTGCGCTGAAAGTGGATTCTTGTTATGCCCCGAAACAGGAGAACTTCTTGGACCAAAAGGTTTTGGCAATGTACATCAGATTGAGGCTGGAGATGAAAACGATATTTTGACTGTCTTACTGACTTTAAATGCTAGTGGGCAAGTGTGTCCACCTCTGGTGATCTTTCCGTATCTGCGTTTACCAAAAGCAGTCACTGATAATACGCTTAAAGAGTGGACTTTCGGGAAGAGCGAAACTGGCTGGATTAATAATGATATATTCTATGAATACATCGTTAATAATTTTAATTCATGGTTGGAGAAAAATTACACCAAAAGACCTATTTTGCTTCTTACTGATGGATATAAAACTCCTATGTCCCTAACGCTAAGTTCTGTGTGTGAGAAATTGGGAATAATATTATATTCCCTACCTCCAAACTCTACACAAATCTTACAGCCTGCAATCATCACTGTTTTAGGGCCTTTAAAAGCCAACTGGAGAAATGTCGAGAAAAAATTCTTGACAAAACCCGAAAATTTTAATATACCGGTGATTTGTTCACTTTTCAAGGAAATCATTGATGCCCCAGAGTTACCAACCAATATAATTAATGGATTTAGGAAATGTGGCCTATTCCCCTATAATCCAGACGCAGTGGACTACACAAAATGTGAGAAAAACACCATGGAGTCACCTGATCGACTAGAAGATAATGAAGAAACTAGAGTAACTGATCAAGACGTTGATTCTACACAAAAAGTCTTGACCAATTTAACACCAATCCTTAAAAAGAAGAATGTGGACGTTGAATTTATTTTGAGTGAAGTGAACAAATTGAGAAAAACGGAGCCCGAAGAACCACAAATCTTGTCTGCAAATGTTCGCCTATACAGTTCTGTATTAAACACTGGTATGGATGATTACACACATTATTCTAGACCTTACATACTTGATAATAATCCATTTTTTCTACCACCACCAGTAGACGACATTTCGGTAGAAACCGATGATGAAGAGGTTCAGTATAATTCACGTTATATAGAACCAGTAAGAAATGTGGAAAGAAAATGCATACTGTTTTAATTTGTCATATGAGATTTATTGAAACATAGTTTTTTTTTAATTAATTCTGTATTATTTTAGAAATAAATCTTGTAATTACCTTAATAATATAATCTAAGTAAAATAAATAAATAAAATAAAATAAACCTTGTATTCATGTTAGTTGTGTTATCGAAGAAAATGTTTGAGTAATTCGCCAGCACCTAAAAATTCTTGCATCGAAGGACTACACTATCTTGGATGTTAGGTACGTGTTAATCTAGTCCTTGGCCTTTATTTATGATGACGATCAATGTTATTGATGCAACCTTGTGGATTCCATTGATATGAGCAAATATTTTGTTACAAAGAATAAATATATCAAAAGAGACAGTTTTACCGTTATCTGAGTCCCAGGTATCACTTAACAATGTGGTTTTGTCGAATTATCCTGTTGAATCAAGCACACCACAATCAGAAAAATAGTTGTGCCCCAACCCCTGGAAAATCAAGCCAATCAAGCCAATTTGTTCAAGCCTCGAATTCCTGCTGCAATCATCTTTGTTGTAATAAAAAAGAGAAATTAAATAATTATTAAACTTATAAAAAAAGCAAAATATCAAAAAGAAGGAAACCGGAAAATAAAGGGAACGAGACAGTGAAACGGAAGACTCTTAAAGAAAATGACTCTCCATAATATGGCGAGGCATTTTGTACTTTTTATTGTGTTTAAAATAGAGAAACTTTAATATAAATGTTGAGTGTTCGGGTCGTGCAAGTGCAAGTGAACTTTGAATAGTGAATTTGGTTTTCCTAACAGCCAGCTAGAGATATCAGAGAGGTAAGTGTACTCGTAGGGTCAGTTTTGTTGTTAATAAGTATTCAACGGTCTATCAATTAAAATAATAAATGTAAATTAAGGAAGAGAGGGGCCTCCTGACACAGGAGCTTCTCTACGCGTCTACTAGGCTGGCCCCTACAAATTGTAATATAAAACAAAGGTAGACTAAAATAAAGACTTTTTGTTTTTTATTTATTTATTTGAGGTACTGGCTAGTTAGATTTTTTCTAACCCCTGCCCTACTTCAACCTTTTAAAAGCAGACCAAATATTCATGTTCTATAAGTATAGTTTGAATAATTAAATTCAACAAATGAGATATGAATAATAAATAATATACAGTGTGAGTCACGTTAAAGTGTACATATGAAATTAGGTGAAACTAGACCTATTTTTATCGGCAAAAAAGAGGTCAAAAATTTTTTGAGATAATTTTTTTCTTCCAATTACTTATTGTAAAGAAAACGTAATAACTTTTTAACTAAGCGGTATATCCTGATAAAATAAAAACAGTAATAATGCTAAATAACAGGCAATACTAAAAAAATACATAAAATACACAAAAAAGGCCAACAAATAATAAAAAATGATACTTTTTGAATAAAATCTGCTTTTAAATTCGTGTTTTTTTTGGTTATTTGATAAATTTCTCCAAAAAATGCCCCTATAACCAATGGTTTTTATTACATTGTATTATTCTCTGTCGTATTATCTTCGTAAAACCAAAAATCGCATGTCTCTATCCCTATCACAACGTTTGCAATGATCGTTTGAACTAAGCCTCTCCGGGCGCGCCATTCAAAGCTTCGTTAACAACGAAACTGAAAATGGCTCTAGATTAGTGATTTGTAATTTTGATAAAGACAAGTTAGATTTCAAATAAAAACAAAAGATTTCGAAGTAAAATAAGCATTTTAGTTAAAATTAAAACTGTTTCTACCTGTAGCGGAGAATAATGTTGTGGCAGGCCTTTGTTCAAACGATCATAGCAAATGTTGTGATAGGGATAGAGACATGCGATTTTTGGTTTCACAAAGATAATACGATAGAGAATAATAAAAACCACCTGTTATAGGGACATTTTTTGGAGAAATTTATCAAATAACCAAAAAAACACGAATTTAAAAGCAGATTTTTTTCAAAAAGTATCTTTTTTTTTATTTGTTGGCATTTTTTGTGTATTTTATGTATTTTTTTAATTTCACCTGTTATTTAGCATTATTACTGTTTTTATTTTATCAGGATATACCGCTTAGTTTAAAAGTTATTACGTTTTCTTTACAATAAGTAATTGGAAGAAAAAAAATTCTATAAAAAATTTAAAAAATCTCAAAAAAATTTTGACCTCTTTTTTGTCGATAAAAATAGGTCTAGTTTCATCTATTTTCATATGTACCTACACTTTAACGTGACTCACACTGTATTAAATAAATGATTGAAAAAATATTGTTGGTATGCGCGGCGCAGGATAACCTCTTCAAATTCTACTGAACCGATTTAGATAAAGGTATGCTTAGATTTGAAACCCAGATAAACTTAAATGACAGTTTTATGTCGGTTTTTTAATCTCGTATGCGTCCGACAAAGTCTTTCTGTGATAGACCAAAACACACGCGGGAAAAATCTAGCTTTACACCCCTACTACCCGCTACTTTATTTACACAATGATCTATCTAGATTATCTTAGATTTATGAGTTAATTAATGTGCGACTAATCTACTTAGCGCTATTAAACAACGATTTTATTGTTGTGCGTGCAGTAGTTTAATAACTAATGCGTGAAGTATCACAGAATCAGTTGTTAGTGATTGTCTCAATTATTGTGTTTAACCAACTATAGTAACTAGCCTAATAGATGAAATTATACACTATTAGTCGTATTTTAACGCAATTTTTATGTTATTAATTAATGTAAGTATAATTAGTTGCGTTCAAAATTGATCTAAATTCTTAGAATAGTATGCAAGCAAGCAAGATGGAATTTTGTACTGCTACATTCACTCGCTACTACTAACGCGATCTTGCGGAGAAATTTACGTTGGTTTTCGCATTTTATTTTCCGCGACATGGAATAAAATTAGTTTATTTGGGAAACTAATAAAATGTACGGATTTATTTAAGAGGGAGGATTATTTTATTCTCGGAAAATACAGGTATTAATATAATCCTTATGTAACACAGCGGTATTTCGTAGGAATGAGAGCGAGAGAGATGCATACAATTACTAAGGTTTTTTAAGTCGAGGGCACACAAAAACGGCTTTGTCCTTTGCGATTTGCCTTAGTATAGTGATTCCCGACGTGCTCTACTCTTTGTAAAACTCTATAATCTCTTTGTCGTCCCCTAGCGCTCGATTGTGATGGCCAAGGGCGCAAGGTTGCTAGGGTAAAATGAATTGGGGAGTCCTTTGTAATTTGTATAGAATAGGGATATGCGATGTTCACCTGGATGTAATACAAAGACGCAACATACAAAAAAACAAGCATCTGTGTTTTCAGCCTTGTACTCGTAATATTAATAGCAGCCGGGCGGGGGTATTATTTATTTTTGTTCTCGGCCTACATTTAGACGGGTTACAGAATGTTACCTTTAGTTGTACCATTTATTACTTTATAGGCAAATTCATAAAAGTTGCACATCAGTCAGATTATGTTGCAAATTCGCACCTATGTAAAACGCCATAGTGTTAAGCTTTATATTATTATTTATTTATAGGTATCGTTGCCCGATCTTTTTAACAACTCACACATTAAAGTGTAGTGTGGGTGAAGCTGCCAAATGCAACCCCCTTTTTTGCCGTGTCCAATTTATTCAAATAATAATGTTCAGTTTTGGACTGCATTTTTGTGTTAATTACAATTTAATATTACCCACAGGTCGATTCTTCAGAAGGTCCAGTTCACCTCGTGAGGCTCAGAAGACCCCTGGCGCCTGGGGACACACCCCTCACACACGTCGTCGATCCCGCAATGTTAGTATGTTTTATAACAGCTCAAATTGAACGCAGCCCGCATGTGTGAACAACAATAACGGTATCTAATATTAAAAAAATATGCGATCTGGCAAAGAACGCAAACTGCCAGGTGCGGGCTGCTTTTACCTGACCGCAGACCGCAGAACGTCGAAACAGATGTTATGTTGTACACAAATCTAATACAGCATTTTCACACTGGACTTACAACCCAGTCGAGTTAACTGCGCACCTAGCGGCCATCACATAGACATAGAGGCTAGCACGAAAAACTTTCGAGTTCGAATCGTTTGCGTATTTGAATCGCCATCAAAAGATTTAGTACGAAAACTACAACAGCGCCCTTGTGAACTTAGTATGAGAAATGGTTGCAAAAAACTTATTTTGAGAGTCAAAATTGTCAGATTGTCGTATAATTCGAAGTTTGAGTATCGAATTTTGTCGAATACACAAACGATTCGAAGACGAAAGTTGTTCATGCTAGAGGTACTGGTACGAACGGGATGAACACGGGGAGATGTGCGGGTGAGTGCGAAAGAGTCGCATTCCAGAAAGGTGCCTATTATAACTCGACTGGGTTGTAGGTACCTAGGTAGGTAGGCCTTAGATTTGTGTTCATCATAATATTATTTGCTTCGACTAAATTCGGATTTACACGCTTACGCAAACAAAGATAATTCTTCGTACCGGATAATTTGATTTCCCAAATTTTCCGATATTCGAGATTTCGTATTGCATTCCGCGTCGCATCCAATAATAATTGACGGTAATAAATTGCATGTTGACGAAAACTCCTTTGTGACGTCATTTAATTCCAGAATTCCAGATTCCATTATGTTTTCGGAGTAGTCATTGGAATTGCATTGTCACAAAGGCTGTCCACGAGTTGTATCGGTTTTCAATTAAGCGTGGCAAAAATTAATTTACAATACAAATATTATTTCAGCTGCTCTGAATAAGTAGTTAGATCTTTTCTAACTTGTTGAGACATGAAAAACAAAGTCTTCGTGGAACTTCGTGTCGACTTTAGAATATCATTTCGGAGAAAATACTTAAATTATGATCTTAAATTAATAACTTCCACGTGGCTTGATTTACTTAAAGGACCTTATGAGACTTTTTAGAAAAGGTACCTATCCTTAGGGGAATAATTTCTTTATTTAGCCCCTCCTCGGGGTCTGTTTAAAGGGGCAGACAAGTTTGTGTAGATAAAAAGGTTGTTTGGGATTAAGTTACATGCTATTCTATGATTTAAGTAGATTGATGTACTAGGTAGGTACTTACAAAATTTCTATATAAATAGAATATAATGAACGCAACTGCGTGGAATACAGGGGTCTATGATACCGGATTTATATCATAACTTGATAGAAATTGCATCTGCCCTAGAGTTTGAGGTAAATAAAAAAAACGCGTTAAGTAGGTACCTAATTTGTTTTTTTTTACAATTTGTTACTGAAACATACACATTACACACACATACCTACAATAATTTATTGAGACAATACTTAGGTACCTAATACTGGATTAAATCTGCCTGTCTTGTCTTTTCTGATAAGAAACTTATAAGAAAGTCTATTATGAGCGCCATTTTTTGCCATGGAACGCTACACTGATTGCTCAGAGTTTTTTAAGGATAAAATAAATAACTATCTCACTGGATTAGCAAGCTGAAGTGCCAGCAGACTGGTATACTTATGGTTATATTTTTGGAAAAACTTATAACCGTAAGAAAGACTACAAGTGAGTGAACGACTCATCTAGCGTCTAATTATTTTAATTTAGACTGTATTGTAGATTTACAATACAATATTCATGTATTATAAAATGAAAGAAATGCAAAAAAATATCTTGAATTCGGAAAACTCATTCAATTACAGGCTTGATGTCATTGAAAATTATTAAGTTAATCTAAGCCATCTTTTCAGATGGAAGTCAATCCCACTCTACGAGAGAGAGCGCCTGACCTCCACCCCCAAAGGATTCTGGATGCTTTACTCGGACTTCCAGCGAGCATTCAACAGACTTGAGATGGTGCATCTTGATGCGGAGACCAGCAGAGCAGAGCCGTCTTTAGCAGAGAAGCATAAGTGGCAGATGAAGATGCATCAAGGGGGCTGGAGGCGAGGAGTGTCGGCTGGGGGCTGTCGGAATTATGTCCGTAAGTACATGTTGAGGATTTTAATAGACGAACTTTAGTAATAAGGATATCCATTTTCTAAAAGTTTGACGGTTACCTCCTCACAGAGAGATTTCTGATATTGTGATAATTTTTCAAAGATAAACCTTTTTACAGACTTCTTTCATATGAACCCGCAAATCCAACTGATCCTGAACGAGCCAGACACCGTCGTCATCTCCCTGAACCAGCACAGCATCATGGAGCCAAAGGTTATCGGTTTCAGCATCTACAAGATGCCCAAATTCCTGACGGAGACCGCTTCGCCCCTATTTTTCAAGAAGATCAAAAGCGCTATCAACTCCCAGTACACTAACAGTCGTCAAGTCAGTCACAGGTATGGAATATTAAGAATCATTACTTAAAAACTTAGCGAAGGCAAAGGCAAAAGCGACTGCTGAAGCGAATTCGTTCGAATGTACTTAACTTGGGTAATGCGTAACAGGAAAGCCACTTGAAGCGTCCGTGTTCAATAAGGACTTGACTGATTCAGCGTTAAAGTGGCTTTCCAATTTTCTAAACATTACACCTTTGCGCCCTTTTCAGATGCCAACTGGAAGTAGGAGCATATCTGGTGATGCCGACGACTTTCGAGCCGCGGGAAGAGGCCAATTTCTCTCTCAGGGTGTTCTCCAACAAGACTTTGAAGATGAAGGTCCTGGATTACGCACCGCAGATGCTCAAGGCAGCACTGATCAAGGCACCTCCTGGCGTAGAGACGAGCAGTTTTGCACAATACGAGGCGGTATTCTTGCAGCTAGCCGATGAGCACAGAACGATAGACGCTTTTGAGTTACAGGAACTGCTCGACGCGTGTCTACCAAATGACTACATCAAGAGCTGCGCTTCAATCGACACGTGCAGGCAAATTGTGCTGTCGATGGATGTATCCTTTTCAATATAATGGACTGTTTTTTTACTGAAATGATGATGATTATTTTTGTTTTAATGAAGACTTTGTAGCTTTTTATATTTATTATAGGTATAGTCGCAATCGTGACTATTCCAAAATATCTTTTCCTTAACACCCCCTACCAGAAAAACGGCACAGGCCGCATCTCCCTATCCGACTTCAAGGACCTGATGTGCAGTTTAAAGCACTGGCAGTTAGTATTCAAGACGCATGCGCGGGAAAAAATGGGCGTGCTGCGTGCTGAGAGGCTGCGCGACGCGCTCAGAGAAGTCGGGTTCGTCGTGCCTGAGCGTGCTATGGCACTCCTCGTTCTTCGGTATATGAGGAAGGATGGCATGCTCAGATTCGGAGACTTCGTGTCAGCGGTCATGCACTTGCACCGGGCATTCAGTAAGTTATCATTATTTAATACATAGCTGAATACACGTAGCTACTATCCCAGGAAGTCAGTCTGGGCACCAGAGGAAGGAGTGTCCCGCCAAAGAACCCCACTGCCTACTTTGTGCAGCGGTAGGAAAGGCAGCGGACCACATGCTGGGGACGAAAGATTGCCCTCAGCCACTGCAGATGCCTAAGCCGGCGCTATCCAGGCCCGGCCGAACGGCTAGCCTCATGGAGGTGGACGCGGGGGCGTCCGCTTCCTAACACTGAGGCCCGAAGTGCGCGCGGAGTCCCCGCGCGCTTTGGAGAGAGGACGCCACTGAAGGGGTCTATAGAGCGAGGCTGCGGCTGCTGCGTGGGGGCACGCATGCGAACGATTCTTCGACTCGTATACTGCCCCACTAAGCGCGACCAGAGGGACCCGACTTGTTTATAGTGGGTAGGCCTTACCCTTCAGGCGAGGAGAGCCCCACATAACTCATTGGCTCCCCCGGGCTGGTGAGTATGCAGTTTCATGCATTTTCCAGTCGAAAAAAAAAAAAGGAATTACATACCAAGTTACAGTTGGGGTGCTATGTAGAGCCGTTTATCTTTTGTACTGCAGAGGGACTTTAACACGCACAATATTTAATGCCCATGGATACGATAAAATTCATACAAAAGAGTCGTCGCTAAACGTGGTAAATAGCTGGCAACCCTGTAAAATCTAATAAACGCACGGCGCTGCACATGTCCTCAATTTTAAAAATACGGTAGGCCGACATTTCGTACGTGCCTGGATAATACCTATCACCCAGGGCGTCGGTCCATTTCGTGTTTTAATAGATTAAGCCGTTATCCACCCGTTACTTCTACAGCCTAGTTATTAATATTATTGCGACGTGCAAATGAATGATTTGACCAGCACCCCCCACGCTGGCATCTTACTTGAATATTATTATGCCAAGATTATCAAACTCAATTAGATATCTCATTCCAGTGATAACTACGATTATTTTAGAACGCCTCCCTTCAAGTTGTATGACTATTTATGTACCTATTAGCCTTTGAGCTTTGCCGAAATTCATCATCCCCATTTCCAATAATTGAAACGCACACAAACTGTCTGGGATTGCACAGCGTCGATTCACCTGGGGTGTTCCAGGGAGTTCCCCTTTCCTTCCCGATCTGCATGCACTGTGTTGGTCTGTCTATCTATCTATGTTTGATGGACGCCAACAAAGCCTCTGAAATTCGACGCGTAGTTTCATTTGGTATTACAGAGGGGGACGCTAATTAATTTGATTTAGGGACTGGGCGTCTGGCCGTCTGAGTTTTTAAAATTAAAAACCCGTAACCTACTCGTACTATCTTAGTAGTGCGCGCTACTAGACCATGACCGCGGTAGGTAATTAATTGTACATATTGGTACGTGCTTATCGTGTTTTCAAAAGAACGAACGAAATTTAAATAATTTGAGTGTACTTAATTAGAATATTTTTTTTTCAGTTTTCGCTCATTCCAGTCAGAAACTTACACTGAAGTCTCATACATTTTACTGTATGACAAATTGAGTTAATATTGTAGTTATGAATCGGACGCCTGTTTAGGTTAGGCATCGTCAATTTAATCTTATTTTAAGTACCCGTGTGTGTCCGAACTCCGATCTGAACGTAGAAAAGTTTGCAGACTTATTCGTAAGTACTCGTATCGCACTCGGAAAGCGATCGGTCATGCATTTACGTCGTAGGTACGACCTCCCTATGCGAGTTTCTGAATAACTTTCCGATTCCAGCTCAGGAATTTTAGAAATAGAGCGCTATGTAGGTACCTATTTGATTGGAATATTTATTTTATTTTTATTTTTATTTTACAAGGAAAACAATACCTACAATGTAAAAACTATGTAGACTAACATATATCGCAGCAAAGCTTTGAAATCTAGCTCTATACATAGTTTATAAAGTTATGATACATAGAATCGTTTAGCAATATGGGACATGCTTAGGGAACGTGCAAAATGACTGATAGGTTTGATGAGTTGAGGACACTTGAGTAATTCCTTTGTATCTGGGCCAATGAGTTTTGATTCTAGAATAAATTAGGTCTATACTTACAATAATATCGATAGTACTTTGATCAATTCAACATTGGTATAGTATAGAATGACAGACAATATCAAATAACTATCATTTCAGCTCAAAGCGAGGTACAGTCAGGCGAGCAAATAATTCGCGACACCCAAAATAACCAAAAAGTTGACAAGAAAACTGAAAGTTGGTGAATTTTGACATATCTGTCAATGTCCCAAATAACCAATCATGCAGCATTTGGACCTCGCGTCTACGTATTGCCATCTGGCGGATTTTTCATTCGCGAAAACCCTCACATGTTGCTAACTTTTTTGCTACTTTAGCTTTGCCAATCGTATAGCAAATCGCCAACGACTCTACTTCCAATATCGAAGGTGTCGACGTTCCACGTATCGTTGCGGAAACTGGTATGAGTAGGGCTTCTTGTTATTCTCGACGATTCCTGCCTGATATAGAGCGACTAACCAATTTTGATCCTAAAACTTAACGAATAATATCAATCTGCTGGTAAATCGTGTTTTACATGAGAGATTGACAATCGATATTGTAGACAAACCTCCTTTTTAGTTATTTATGGTTTTGTCTATTTATTTTACTTTTTTACTTTTGTCTTTTGTTGCATTACAATGGCGTAACAAGATTGCTGTGTTTTAATTTCTATTCACATTTTACATAAGTTTTGCCCTTTCTTTAACATCTGGCGACCGTGCGAATGGTAAAAACACATTAGAAAATCACACGCACAGCAATATCAAAATAATGGCGTCAAAAGTAACCGACGATAGGACTTTTTTGAAAGCAAAATCCAACAGATCTTGCTTAAGAACTATTATAACAAAGCTATGTAAGAAGATCTCGGAAGAATTGGAGAAAGTAAGCGAGGTGACGGACGAAATCGCGGCGAATTTCGAAAATGCTCAGGTGAAAGCAAGGCAGTTGGCCATTTTGGATGAGGCTATCATTGACTGGTACTTAGAGCAGAAAAAGGACGTCGAGGAGGAATACGACACGGCAGATAAGTACCAGCATGACTTTCGTCTGCTCAAGAAAAAATTTGACAGAGCCTGTGCAGCACAGAAATCTGCAGAAGACCGTGAGGATCGACAACCCAAACGCCAATTCAAACTCCCACAATTGGAATTAGTGAAGTTCGACGGAAATATTAAAAATTGGCTACCTTTTTGGGGTCAATTCGTCAAAATTCACAGTGATAGTTCTATCGATAACAGTGACAAATTTCAATATCTAGTTGCCGCCATCCCCAAGGGTACACCTGCGAGGGAATTGATTGATAGTTTTCCTCCTTCTAGCGNAAAAAGGGTTGAGTACCTGAAACCAAGGAGTGTAGATTTGATATGAGATTTAAAATTTTTGAGCACGATCGGAGTCTGCCTCATAAAGGTACCAGAAAGGCGCTGGATGCAGGCCGCTACTAACCGGTCAACATGCAAAATCATTGGGGAAGACCTTATGTTGAGCAGTGAACGTCCTATGGGTGAAATGATGATGACTATGAACGAAGTCTTGAGGGCAGTAAAATCAATCAATCGCAGTAAAATCTAACTATTTTGAAGAAGTTCTATCGAGTTTTAAGATTCTCAAAATTAGTTGCCTGAAATATCCAGTCGAACTGTACTGACAATCAACAGGAATGCAGATAGGCACTATCTGGGTTAATGGGAAGAGTCAGCTAGATAGTTTATAATTTAGTGATCATTCATTTACTCGGACCACCCGGTGTGGTTTTACTACGATAGTATAGTCAGCACATCAGAATAACTTTGATTCAAACACGCACCTAATAATCGCTTGATCTGTTTTTAAAGACTGAAAAATCTATTATTTTCTTGCCACGCCGCCTGCTGTTTATAACCCGAAGCATGTGTTTCCCTATCACCTTCAGAAACGTTCATACTTCATAGAACGTTCTGCTGACCGTTTGTTGCTTTATAGAGAATTTATTTTTACGACTTAGCAGGAGCGCGCGCAAATGGATTTGACGCAAATTTAAAATGAATTGGGCAACCGTCCAACCAGGCGGAAACCACCGAAACCGACGTTATCATGAAAATATGTTATATTATGCTTGATAAAATGTTACTGCGAACTAACAATAGATATTCAGATAGGCCCTTTTTAATAGAATGAAAATATTTTTTTTTTAAGATAATAATGTAAACAATTGTGTTGTAAAACTTGCTGTGATTGCGTCAGTCTGGGAGTATAATAAAATTAAGAGAAAATGTGCTATCACGCGCTGCTTTTCTCAGTAATGCCACGTGTTCTAGCAGTGATCAAACCTCAGACAACCTGACAAGATTCCAAGGCACAGGCGCCGAGCAATTCGAAAGAGTACTATATTACAAGTGTGCTTTTAAGTAGTATTATAATGGTATCGCAAAATTAAATTATACTGTTGTGTACAAAATCTTTTGTAGCTCTTTATGACTAAATGTGATGAGGATATGCTCTAAAAACATAATTTCTATACAATAATCTTTAAAATACATCACGCGGATTGGTAAATTGGAAGCGTGATTAGTCCGTATCTTACCTGATTGCGACTCAGGTCCATTTCAAATTAATGTTAATGATGTTATGTATAAATTAATTAATTTCTTTATTTGTTGTTACAATAATTTTATATCAGGCATTTCCTTTCAATAAATAACAATTTATGCAACTTACTTTCAAGTTATTTGCAAGAATGTGCCGTAAATTGTAATCATCGTAAAACGATTTACGATGATGGTATGATATTCATGATTTAGCAGAATCGTATATTTCGAAAAAGGTAAATGAGTAATTTATTGGTAAAGCAACTAACTAAAGTAAGTGTAGGTAAGTAGATGATACAAGTCTTTTAGTCTCGACTGCGGTAATCTCTAATTTACAAGAATGAGGAAATAATTATTTTTACTGAAATCATTAAACTCATTGGCCCACAGAAGCAGGTCGAAAGCCGCGTGGTAATTGTAAACATTGCAAAAATTGAGACGGGGCAGACTGCGCGAGCGCTACCACGCAGATAAAAATCCGAAATAGATTTGGCTATGCGCCGCGCACGCCGTGCGCTGAAGTCCGCTGAACAATGCTGGAAACTAGGTCGACAATCTGTTTACTGTGTCAAAAATGCGAACTATCTGTTCAGACCCGCCCCCACGTAAGCGTACTCGTATTATCACCACTGAATCGGCCACGTGGCGATACCATTTGCGCAGTATTTTTTTATTTGCAACAAAAAACTGGAATCGGATTTCAGCAACGGGTCCTGTACAAGTTTTCCGATCCCAATACATCAACTTGTTCGTTCGTTTCATCCAAATGATATTCACTAAGACAAAGTCCTCCAACATACACAGAATAATATTTGGAGAGCAGTTAAGAACTTTTTGCATCTCGTAGTCTTAGTCGTATCATTAGATTTTAATGGAAAAGACATCTCAGCAGGACATGATGATTTTGACATCTTAACAGTTTCTGCTAAGTTTCTGTTATACAGTACAGTACAGTTCCGTACTAGTACTTTTTCTGTGGCTACAGTTTGTTACGTCAACAACAGAGCAACCGTTCGAGAATCACGTCCAACGTTTTTCCTATTGTGGCGCAGAATCCTGAAAAACAGTCATCATAATAATTAACTCTTACATTTTAACGCGATTACATTATTCAATTCTCTTTCCGTGTCTGTATTTACAGGAACTTTAAAGCGACCTCGACTGACTCCTCATTTCCGCATGTCTACGAGAAAGTACGATCGTTTTTCTTTCAGCGGACAAAGGTAATAGACATTTAGACACATTCACACATCGGAAATTGGCAGAGTTGCCGAAATCTTTCATGTGACCCCACGTTTAAAAAAACAAGCTCAATGGTAGATCTTGGCTGCATGTTCTAAATTTATGACGACATCATGGACACCAAAGTTTAAAAAGGATGTGCTCTATGAGCCGAGTCGCGAATATAGTTTTTAAAGTGGCTCTCTCGTATATTCATTGGGCTGCTCCAGTGTGACCTACGCACCGGAAGGCTGGCGTCAACGCAGCTTCAATGTCAACGTAATTGTTCAGTGACAGCCCAGACCTCCGCGGTTTCGTTGAACCATACATTAGCAATTGTAATATTTAATATTCAATGAGTGACAGCAACTGCCAGACCTCTGCATTAAAATGATGATGAGATGTGATGGGACGTGTTGTTTTGAAAACTAAACAAAATGTCTAAACTTTTAAACAG